GAAAAGTCGCGATATTAAGCATCGACGCCTCATGAATCACGCGAGTTGCGAGCCCTTAGGCGAGGCCTTTATTCCTCTCTGTTCATAATGATATATCGAGGCATAGTCATCTACGATGATCGATGTACCGAGATTTTATATGAATTTAACTATGTTTCGATTGAGAGAATATTTTAAAATTAGTGAAGTACTGATTTTTCTACTAATTTGAGAAGGAAACATTTTAGGATCTTTTTTTGGGAAAATATGTTATTTAAATAAACAACTCTCTGGAAAAGCTTTTATATACAATTGCTGTATTCACTTTTCAGAAAAGTAATAATGAATACAAATGTGTTGTCACTGAATTGTATGCGTGTAGAACTTTTAAATTAAAATGTGGAGAGTGAATGACTTCATAAATCGAGATTACATCAAAGATTGAAAATACATTTAATGAAAATCTTAGGGTTATAAATAAATTTGCAATTAGCATCGACATTTGGCACGATGTTAAATGGAAGGCTTGTGCCCTATCGAACATTTTGTTTTTCAGGATATAAAGAAGACCTTGAGATTAGCATCGACGCTTCATAAATCACGCGAAGCCTCGAGCGCACTGACGGATCTTCTGCGCTTCCTTTTCTCTCTCTTTTCCGTAGCATTGATAATGTAAAAGTTTGGTACATCGACGTGGATTTACGCGCCGAATAAATTATCCTCGCTAATGATAATATTACTTTGCTCTTCTTAAACAATCTCATAACTAACTTTACCCTCTTAATCATTATCCTCTTAGCCGAGAATAATGAGATGCAAATTAATTTCGTCATCGATTTGTCGATACATTTCTCAAAGGATTAAATTTTTTTTAAAAACTAAAAAATTAGAATCAAACGTACAAAAATGTTGTCGCTGTTTTTTTTTTTAATACAAAACGACGCGCATCAATCTTTCGGTAGAAACCTTGGTCGGAGCAAATCGTTGAATGATGGTAATGCTTGCCTTATCGAGAGATCGTCTGCGACGATCGTGGCAGGGCACGCCCGTTGTCTACGAGTCGCTCGTAAATTTCTACAAATCGATTCGATATCTCGATCGGCGTGGCGGCTTTTTATAGTAGCGAGGATATTCGTCGAGAAGGTTGCGCTGCTCCTTTAAACGTCCGTTCGTTGCATTGTGTACCGCAACCTCGCATAAGAATCCGCTCTTGCAATGGTCTCGTCTCAGAGCAACCGCGTCTAACGAGAAGCGTTTAAAAGGAGCGGCGCGTTTAAGGAGGAAACAATGGCGAAAACTTGTGTGGGTGAACGTCATGGAAAATGCGGAGGCCGTGCGAACAGCCTTCGGATCCGAAGGAGAGAATTGATCTACCGAAATAAAAAGTCGTTGGCCCGTTATCGAAAACGCTATATATAGATTCACTATACGAAACGTTAAGAACGGATTACTTGATTAAATTGTGAAGAAATATGATCAGTAATCTCCTCTTCAAGTAAATATCTGGAAAACTGAATTATTCCTAACTATTACAGATTGCTTTGTTGTCTAATCGCAATTCTGAAAATTTAATCTACAATTAAAACTTTATTTTCCATCGCTTCATATTTTTTATAAAAATTTTCCTCATTTGCTTTTGACTTCTTACAAGCTAATCGCGATTCATTCTGCATAAAGTACGCGTAAGATCATGTATCTCTGAGTTGCTGACCTTAGAAATGAAACCAATAAAATTTGCATCATAATTAATTGGTTTCTCACTTACAAGTCGTTGAAAGTAAAAAAAACTGTTATTGCACACAGACTGTATTGCGAACTTCTTATGCGATGAGAGGTACTCGAAGGTAATTCACGTATAGGCCTCGACTCGTCAAATAAACAAGCGGTTGAACTTGTTCGGCAGTTTTAAAGCGTGATTCGAATACACGTGGCAAATTCCGGAACGAATGAATATATTTGCTGAATATTTAGTGGCGAGAGAATGCTTTGAAACGGTCAATAGCATTATTTGCCTTTGCGGCTTCCGGACATGATTCGGTTTCTCGAATGAGTACATAAAGTGAGTGAGTTCGTTCCGAGATATCGAAGGTAGACGCGCTGTTCCTCTGAGATACGTCTGCCGAGCTCGGTATGAATCATCCGTTCACGGACAAAGGTGGGATCCGTTTCCTCGCGCGAGATGCATTATGCTTCCAGCAACACCGTACTGTTGCAACACCGTACTGTTTAAACGCTGCACGGAGGTGACCATGCAGATGAACTGAAGTATTGTGTAAGGAATGAGCAAAAAAATCCTTTGCGCAAACATTAATGAGTAGTCAATTACCGGTATGACAGTTTTGCATAATTGCTCAAACAATATGGAATTCTTGGAATTCCAGAAACTTTAATTATCGTTTAAACATCTTTTATTTGCATTATTGAACGTTGTAAAACCTAGAATATCCAGAATGCTAGACGTTACAAATGAGAATTCTTCACGATAAGAAATGATGTTTCTTTCACGCTGTTTTTCGTTCATTATAGTCCAATTTTTTCTCATATATACAGATCTCGTCATAAATTCTCAGCTTCTAAATCGCCTGAGATGTGTCAGAAAATTAAGATTCATGTTATACGTTCTTCTCGTTTTTGACGTTTGTCGTTCGACAGAGAAATATTGCGAGAGACTGACACAAAAGCCCCGTTTTCTCTCGCACTTTCCTGTTGCTTTGCCGCTTGACTAGTCGCGCCACGCGTCGCACACTGCGTTAAGACGTGACGGTAACGCGTATCACGCACAGTCGGCGCCGGCATCTTCGACATCGTGCGGCGCGAATTGCAGGACGATAAAATAACGGGCGACGAAATGCATATCCACCACTCGAGAAGTTTACACTTTCTTTCTCGATAATGAATGCGGCACTGTACGAGATAGCGCATAGTGAATCCTAAACATATCTCAAAAGACGTGACATTAAAAATATTTGATAATGTTTAAAATTAGGAAAATTATTTACTTACAATGTTTATGTAATTTATTTGTCAGCTTCAAATTTTAATTGAAACAATTTTTGAAGGCCTACTTCGATACATGATAACATAACTAATTAACATAATTTGAAAATATGTTTTATTTCATGCACTACTTGTTATATACGACATGTTGCATTGCAACTTTATTATCATCATGTTATATTACAGGTGTTTCTTTTTCATCGTTGATATCAATCGGATAAGCTACTTAAAAATCTTATCTCTTTGATAAATAGTAATTACGACGTGAATAGCGGCCACATATCATCCGCTCTCTTCTCGCAGACTGAATTTGCAGAGAGAAAAGTAAGAGTAACGGTGACACTTAGCTTTTCCCGGATGACGCGATTATATACAAATTATTTATGCGAATACGCATCCACATCTCGATGCACTTTCGTACTTCGCTTTCGACCGCACAAGATATCCTTTTTACGAGGGAAAACACGCGGCCAGTTGTCGAAATGACTGGGAATTTGCACTGACATATTAAAAAATACATCCAATTCGCGTGTACGCGCGTCTCGATCTAATGCAATTACCAGCTGTTAACATAACGGCGGCATTCTTTATCGCTGGGTGAAAGTGCATATCGGCAATTAGGAAGCAGAAAATTACGCCGTTACCCCGTCAGACACGCCGGCCTAAATCCGGATCATTAAGCGAAGAGAATCGACCTTTATGACCGATCCGATCGCCGCGCGGACAATAATTAGCGGCGAATCGGCCGCCCCTGTCGAATTTTGCATTATCGCCGACGCGATACTTGGCCAGTGAAAGTAGGAGGGTCACAGAGTGACATTTGTAGGGTGCTGCGTCTCGTTAGCATAATCAGTAATAATCTTACTCGCCACCGGATGTATCCTGGTACACTTTCGATGCAATCGAATCGCGATATACCGCCCGGAAACGGCTCCTTCGCGAGAGAAACGAGCGGATATTAGGCCCCAATAACCTGATTCTCGTAGCTTTATTCTCACTAGCCGGCTGCGTCAAGAGCAGTAATTGCGATATGAAAACTGTAAAGCGTCTAAGTATCATTTTACAATACAACAGATGTATCTGATTATCCATTTGCGCAAGTATCCGTGTTGCGAATTGGATCTTCATGCTCTAGGAATTCGGAGTGACCCGATAATTTCAGCCGTGAAATATTTTTATGCATGCCGAGCCTCCACAACTGCCGATATTTTATTTTTGAGAGATGTTTCGGTCCGTTTGATTCGGTACATTCCACGTGACATATTTGTTCTGAAAAATGCTTCGAAGTACATTGTGAAAGCTCGCATTGGCGGCGCTCATTTGTCACGAGGACGAGATATCGGACGGGATACGACCCTTGAATAATGGAAGGACGCGCTCGATTTCTCGCGGGAACGAGGTAGAAATTGCACTTTCGAATGCGATAAATTGTGCCGATTATCGGCGTAATTTCTGCTGTCACGGTTCGTTCGTGCGCGGGTGTGTCCGAGAGGAACGACTGATACAGTGACGGTGAGATTGACGGTACGCCAGAGGAGACGTGCCAGACCAGCGTGAACTACTAGCGTGTCTCTTGCGGATAGCGCGTCTCGTAGAATTAGCAGGTGCGTTATTTTCGCGTAGGAAAGTGGATGATTTCACCGGCACGCAAAACTCGGAGATTTGTAATACTAGAAATCGATCAGATGGCAAGCAAGTGCCATTTCACGTCGATTCAAATGATAGAAGAAAGTACGGTACTTTGATCTGATTTTCTGCCATTAATAAGCTATAAACGGATCGTGTTAGTATATTTTTTAGTCATTGCTTGGTATTACAATCTTATGGTTGTTTTTTTTTTATTTTTTTTTTATAAACGGTGTATATGAAGTTTCGAATTATCTTTTTACAGACTTGAGAAATTGCAATTACAAAATACATGTATTGATTATTTATCACTATTATTATTTTCTGTATTTTTCAAATAAAGTTTTAAACTGCACACCTGGACAAATTGTGAAATAAATCTCTTGTTGATGTTACAGCAGTGCGGTAGCGGCAGCAGCGGTGGCGGCGGCTCGACGGAAGGCGTCGTGGTGAGCGTCGGTGCCGGGAACGGCGTCGGCAACAGCGGCAGCGGCGTCGGTGGCATGGATTGCATGCCCCTGCGCCCCGGTCCCTTCCACTATCTCATCAGCGAGCAAGCCAAGTCACTGGTGGCCCTGCAGGAACTGCAGAATGAAGTCGGCGCTCTGCTCGAGTTCCGGGACCTCGTCATCGAGACGTTCCCAAACCTCCGGCACAAGATGGCTGCGACGGCGTCCGCGGGTGCGTCCGTGATGTCGTCCACCTGCACCCAGAGCTCGCACATCCCGCTGCCGCTGTCGAGCCCGTCCTCGCGGAGGATCGGCGAATGGGAACCGGGCAAGATAAGGCGGCGGGCGACGCGCGAGGCCGGCGGCGGTGGCGGCGGCAGCGGCAGCGGCAGCGGGGGAGGCGGCGAATCCTCGTCCTCGTCGCTGCCTAGAAGTCGCAGCAACTCCCACAGCGGTGGCACCAAGAACAACTGCAGCGCGACGGTGCAGGACTCCGGTTTCAGCACGGAGACCTCGTCGAAGGACAGCGCCTCGACGGCGATCGCGCCGCGCGCGAGTAGCCCGCGGCCGAGCGCGCTGGACGAGGCGGAGGACGAGCTGTGGAATCTACTGGATGTGATTCACCGTAAGGGAATCCGGCTGCGGGAGGAGGTCGAGTGCCTTCAGGGTCGCCTGGAGAGTGTGACGACGGAGGAGCTCGCATCGACGGATGTGCTGGAGGCCGTGAGAAAGGTCGCCGGCCTCGGCGATGCTGATATAACGATCGGTCACGGCAACATCGTCGACAGCGTCGAGCTGCAGCAGCAAGACAGCAGGGACCCGCAGGTGATAGCGCTCAGGCGGGAGAAAGAGCAGCTGCTGGACAAAGTGGCCGAGCTCGAGGCGGAGACGATATCGAGTCGCGCGCGCGCTCAAGAACTGCAGACGGAGCTGGCCGCTCTGTCGGCTCTGAAGACCGGTCTGGAGGATCGGTTGCGGGCTGGATTGACCGAGAGCGGCTTGGAGATTCTCGCACCAGGCGCGCAGAGACTGCAACCGATCGCGCCGGTTGTCTGCTCGCCGAAAAACACCAACATTAGCAATATCAAGAGCAAGAGCTCAGCGTTCGCGTCGGTCGCCGGTAGTCCTGGGAGCAAGGCTCATAAGAGTCGCTTCCGCACGAGGACTATTGAGAGAAATGTGATACTGGACGTGGTCGGGCGCAACGATGAGCCACGTAACATCGACATCGACATCGAGGCGAGCGTGAACGAAAGGCGAGCTAGGCTAGGAGCGCTAGATTCTATTTTGGTGTCGCCGACCAGGGTGGCTAACGTGAAGGATGTGGATTCGAGAAAAATCGCGGCCATCCTTCGCGAACATTCACCTCTCGAGCTTCAGCGGCACTTAATCACTACTACCGTCCATAATCAGGTAACTAGATTAGTAATTTCCTCTTTTAACGCATTTATTTACAATATGTAAAAAGATAAATCTTCGTCAGTGCCCTAATCGATTGATGTTATTTGCAGGTCCTACAGAAAAGACTAGACGAAGTGGAAAAAAGCACAGAAACCCTCTCCGAGCGACTGGATAAAGCGCGCGAAGAAAACGACGATTTGCGGTTCCAGGTGAGTCGTAATCGAAATGCTAGAAGCAGCTTCAGTGGAAAAATAATAATAAAAGTACTATTAATGTGTTCTATTCTTCTTTGTTCTCTTTTGTTTTGAATTTCAATTACCGTAAATATAATGCAAAACGAAATAATATACATGTGTCTTTCAGTTAGAGGAACGAAACATCGAATTGGAAGGCACGCGAGCGCGAGTACGCGTGCTAGAACGCCTTCAGCAACGACCGCCGACGGAGATCGAGCCCGAGGACTTGGAGCAGCCTAGATGTGAGCAAAGCGGTCTCGAACCCGGCAGCAGTACAGAATCCGCTCGCGATCATCATCAGCCGGTAGAGATCAAACCGTCGCCGCGGCGACGTCCTAGTCGTATACCTTTACCCGGCAACAGCGCAAGCGGCAAGACGGCGTCGACGACACCTACGGCAGGCGCGACTGCGACGACACCGTCGCGACTACCCGGTCACGGCAGGAACGACAGCAGGGAGTCGCTCAAGTCGCTGACGAGACCGCCGCGTGATTCTAGTCGCGACAGCCACGGCGGCGGCAAGTCGCTGTCGAAAACGCGCGACTCCAATCGGGATTCGCTCGGCAATAGGAGTCTGTCGAAGAACGGCGGCAACGGCGGCAGCAATGGTAGCGGCGGCGGCGGCGGCGTCAGTGGCGGCGGCGCGAAAGAAACGAATCGAGAGTCGTCCCTGAACAACCGGTCCCTGCCGCGTAACAATTCCAGCCGAGACTCCTTAAACAAATCCTCCTCGCTGTCCCGCGCCCGCGACTCGCTGGAGTCCAACAACAACGTGTCCTCGCCCGCCACGGGGACGACTAACGCCCCACCTCGACGGCCGCCCGCTCCCACGCGCCGTTCCCACAGCCTGGCGCGCGCGGCGACGTCCGTTGATGCATCCGAGAACGGCAAGGTACGACCCGTAAAGCAATTCTTTTGGAGCAGCTGGCTGAAGTCACCGTTGTCCAACGGCCCGGTATAGTAGAGAGCTCTCGGCAAGACTTCTCTCCCTCCCCAGGACGACGGGCCGTAGTCGCCTCTCTTTTAGGGACAATCACCGCCTGCAACAGCGTTCCCTTCCAAGTCCACTTCTATCCTTTATAACGAAACCTCCCGATAGAATCCCGTCTTGATTTAACTTTTGGGCTCGTCGAACTTTGGCTAGACAGACTAAACTAAACTCTATTATTGTTGTTGCTTTCACTTGACGATGAGAACCTTTCTACGCAGCCTTTCTGTTTCACTTCTGTACCTTTCGCCGTTGCGACTACCACTACTGTCATTACTGTTACGTCACGTCGTGTACAATAATCGCAATAGTGGCCGTATCGATGATACTGAGAATACGTGCGTTTATCGGGGATATATCTGGTCCGATTTCCAGCAATGTGGACAGATGTATGCATCGACTCTCGTAACGCTCTCATTCTTTTCATCATTTTCCACTACTATTCTGACTCCACTCTTCCATTTCCTTTCTTCTCCATCTGTTTTCTATCGCGGACTTCGACATGGTACCACCAATATACATCATACAGGGACGGAACTTCCGTTTTCGCTGAGCCTGCTGCTATCTTTGCCTGATAAACCAATGTTCCTGAAAAACAAAAAAAAAAAAACAAAAAAAATAACGCATCTCTAACAATACGTGCAGAGACTCTCGAGCGAGCGAATCGACCGAGCGATTCTTGTCTTAAAACCATCAATTGCCCGCCCGACCGTCCACCATACCGAAATCAGTCTGATCTGGAGGGCAGGCGAGCGTGCATTCGAGCCCGTCCCCGTCGGCGGTCCAATAAAGAAAGAAAATGGCCCCTTCTCGCGTGCCGCCGGTTTTTTCTCGTAAGTTATGCTTCTTTTATTATCATTTGCTTCGATGCTTCTTTCCTGGATGTGGTGAGCTGTAGTCTTTGTCTTTTCAACCCACTCTCATATTTTCCTTTTCACACCGGTAGATTGACACACCACAGTTTGAACGCTCTCACTTTGGATTTTGGCATGCGCACGTATTCATAATCAAGTTTTCCAGATTGAGTGAGTAAGAATGCTTATGTCCGCGAATACGTTACGCGAAGGTTCTTTTTAAGCTTCGTAGAATGAGTAAGGATATTTTAATATGCTTTTTGGCCTGACAGTAGAATTAATGGACAGACTGTTAATCGCTCGTGTTGGTCTGTCATTTTAGATTCATCGTCTAGATTGGTATCTTGATTTCTGCTCTGTAAGTGAAATTATCTTTCTCTTTCGAGGGAAGATGCTAACTCCGTAAGCGTAAAATGTAGATGTAGCAGCGGAAACTAATAAATTCTTATCTTAGTTCTCTAATTCCTAAGACTTCACAAACAGGTTTCAACGATTCACGGTAAAGTTTTGAATATCTGCGTAAGAGAAAATTAGTTTCTCGCTTAAAATTAGCATATCATGATATTTCCAAGTCACATAAAGGGTTAACACGGTTATACACACGCTAGATTTTGCTGCTTCTCTTCTTCTTTTGCGATTTTTTATTTGCGAGACACGTTAATTTTGCACGCGCGGCCGATCACTCGGTACGTTTACTCTATGCAATATCGTCGCGACAAGCGCGAGCTTCTATTAGCGAAGTTTGATTGATGCGAAGGCCGATCGCCGGAAAAGGTTAGAGATGTTCCGGTTCAGATAATGTCAAATTCGCCTTTCGCCCATGAAGACGCACACAATACCACGCTCGATCCAACGTACGTCCATTTACCTTGACACTCCTGTATGTTCCGTCAATGCATAAAGGATCTTTTTTTTTTTTTCTTTTCAAGCATCTCTTATTCACGATGTGTAGAGACAAGAGGAACATTCCGTTTAGCACGCATCTTTCCGATCGTTATGAGCATTTCACCTCGCGCTAGCGGGGTCTTCTTCCCCGCTCTTTCAACCGTACATTTGTGTGTTGAGTTGGTTTGCTCTTTCCGTTTGCTGAGGTTTGATCTTATTTGCTAGCGTTGCTTGTATGCGGACATAAAAGCCCGAGAGAGCCGTCGCGGTCTACTACAAAGTCGCATCCGCGACCAGCGATTTTGAGGGAAAATGAATCGACCACACGCTTACCTGCTTGGCCTTGCGGTTCATTGTCCATCTCATGTCCAGTGATATCGCGCGAATGACACTATATTTTATGATATATATATATATATATACACACCATTCGCAAATATAATTCCATGAGACGCTCTCTTTATTTGATTGATATATATTTTTATGTTTATATTTTTCAATTTAAACTAAAATCGAGTTATCGAGTAGCAAACTCGCGCTTCGTGTGAGATTTTCACTTTAGATCATGTTACATAAATGCGAGATAACATCTTGATATACCTGAGCATTGTAATAGCCAGTGTTATTAGTGTTATTATAGTTTATTATCGTCCAACATAAATCCGTTTTTCACTTTCACATAGCAGGATCTCGAGCACTGGCTGCTTCAACTCTTGGATATTATAATTAATCTTTGTTACGCATCTCCAAGACGACGCAGATTGTAGTCTTGGCAGAAGATTTTTTTTCGCTTGTAATAGAGCAGCGAGGTACGTTTAATTCGGCTAATTAACTAATTAATACGCATTTCGTATCTTTCAGAGCTTCACCGAACCACCAAGTTCCTGGTGTTCGACCAACAGCAGCTTTCGGCACAGCGACTCGTCGCTGTATCCGGACTCCCTGAATCAAGAAACATCGTCCGTCACCGGTTCCACGCGGGTGGAATTTATAATCGGCTCGCCTACTAGACGCTTCCGTACAAACACCGCCTGGCCGCCGCATCGCTATTTCGATAGCATCGACTCGGCGGCTACGGTACCGGAAAGTCTATTAACTGACGAGTTTCCTTTACGACGCGGTGAGGCTCTGGCCGAGTGCGACTCGCTTGAGTGTCATCCGATTTCGAGCGAGGATTGAATGGAACGATCGTCCGTTGCGCCATCGGTTTTATGTCAAACTTCAATCGGACGCCGAGTCGCCTAGAGCGAGCGTTACTCGCTCTTTGCTCCCTTCTGACATTTTATGTTGTACCACTGTTACTGCGTATACGCGGCCTTATCATATCACCGATGTGTATGCGAAGATGTAGGCAACACGTGAAATATGTTCATTTCGAACATGTTGAAGGAGTGACCCTTGTTCCGTGCCTTTTTAATCTCCGATATCTTTAATTTCCTTTTGCAAAATCATCTTACGGGGATAATTCTAAACGTGAAATGCAACGGCAATGCTTCTAAACCGAAGTAGAACAATACTATTTCCTCACAGGACTTGCTACGTACTTCCCTCGAGTTGCATTTAAAGAGCATTTCATACGCCTTTGTAATATGACGGAGACTTTAGCAGTCAATCTTACTGTCTAATCAAAAATTCAAATTGATTATCAACATGCTTCGTGAATATACATCGATTTATAATGACTATAACTGACGATAATAACGATCATTGCAAGGAGTATTAAATTTGTGCTAAGTTCTTACTGGCAATATGAAAGTAGAGTCAAAATTTGTATATCATATTTATTTGTAGAGTAAAAAAATTATATACATAGATACCTAATCAAAAATTATTTCACTTATTTATGAATATATTATTTTTATCTTTATTTGGATTTTTGTCTATATGAATATATTTTATTTGTCACACATATATATTATACACACATATATATATATATTAATTTTTTATGAATCGAGAAATTTTTTAAATATTTAACAAGATTGCATATCAGAGTGCAACTGCGCTTTTAGTTTTTTTATATTATTTGATATTTATTTTGTGAAACGGAATTATTTGGTTCACTTGACCAAACATCAAGAATGAGTTTGTTAATCAAACTTTCGATTACTTGGTCCACGGTTTGGTAACAACAGTACTTCGCAATTTTGTATCTATGTCTATATCGATATTTTCGTGTATTTCCACGTATTGAATATTTGTCTCTTATCTTTAAGCGTAAAGCTATTGTGTTTAAGCAAAATTGTTGCAGCACTCAGGTGTGTGAAAAGATCCAATCGGATTGTTGACTCACAGCAGAGAATATATTCGACCAGAGATAATAATTCACATTCCATACAAAAACCAAGCTGCAATTCTGTATTCCATTTAGCATTTGTACCGTTGATTTGACTCTATATTGTGATTAATTGTTTTATTTATTATGCGTATGTTACGATAGTGTGGATTTATGTCTGATGAGTTAGTTCATGCAGCATAGTATGCTACGAATGGACGGAATGCGTGACTGCTGGATAATTAGGGAAACGAGGGAGACGCCGCCTCATCGAGTACGGAAATATATCGAGTGCACTCACACTCTTTTGAATATAACACATATCACATTTAATATTAATTATTGCGCGCTTGTTCGCTAGATGCATTAATCGTCGGCGAATAATACGTCGGTGAATATACATCGAGCGAACGAACGACGAACGAACAGCGAAGCAAGCGCGAATTTTCTAAACTTTTATTCTGAATATTTTGTTCTTCATATTTTACACTTCAAGAACGCAGAAAGCTTGTTAACGCTTGACTCGTGTCCAGTTCGAAATACATTCAATTTCGCGTTCGCTGTCCATTCGTTCTTTTTTTTTTGTTTTGCACATAGTGTACATTTTAGCGGAGAGTGATAAGAGTGAACGATGGTTATCAATCCTTACTCGTCGTAGGGAGGTTGTGATTCGTGTCGGAATCGTGTCTTAATTCGCGTAACTTTTAATGCCGCGACTCCGAAAAAAAGAAACACTATGTACTACACAGTTCCTCGCTTTAACAACCAATTTAATTATTTATAACTAACAATGACGATTGTGAACACTGAATAATAATCACAGACGGAGCCTGTGATCTTAGCTATAAATAACCGCGAAACATGTGATTAACATATATAGTTTAAGATGTAAGCCACAGGACTGACGGACTTTACTTATTATTTTATTAGCGCCTAATGTTTTTACACGCGGCGAAACGAACAGGAGGGACCGATGCGCATTCGGTGAATTCTGCTCTTTTCCTCTTTTGTTTTCTCTTTTCTTTTTTTTTACGACAGGGTTCGTAACGCCAGCGAGAATGCTCAGATATTATTGTTATTCACACAGCCGGTGGACTCTGGTGCCTGTATCAGCGTGTGCGCTGCCGACTGGAGGCTATTATTTTTATACTTTAATTAAGGAGAAAGAGCGTGTAAACCGGCTGCAGCGTTGCAGCAGCCTCCCGATCCGATGGTTATTGAAGCGCTGTCACTGTATTATACTTTATTTAGTTTAGATGTGTATCGTCATTATAGAATTATTAATTATTGTTTTACGAATTCACACCGACATATTTGTACATAAACAATCGCGATTTATTTAAATAACTAATGTAAATAAATTATCTATAATGAATCTGCGATAATGTGATCCGATTAATAAAATGAAATTACTTAAAGATATTGATTTATATTGATGGCGCGCACGCGCGCGTTTTGTCATATTCAACATCCAGTTATTAATCCTCGTGTAATCTTTCAGACTTTAGTGGATTATCGTGTTTGCAGAGCAAGTTATATTTTGTCACATTAAGAAATCTTGTTGCAACGTTATCTATTGCAATATTATCAGCAATTATCAACTGGGGAATTAATTTATATACAGGAGTATCAGTTTTTCGTTGAAATATGATATCTGTTTAGTTAACCGATAATTTTGATATTGATTTTATTGCAACTGATTTTACAAGAAATCACAAGATATCTTTTACAGTTTATTTTAATATTGTAGGAAATTTTTACCAAAATTTTTAGTTTTATTTATTGAAAGACGTACCAGTTTATATAAATTTTATTTGAACAAACATCTCGTGAATATTATTATGTATTTGCTAGTAGTATGTCATTCTTTTATATATTTTGCTACGTCGCTCGTAATGTCGAGAGAATTTATTTTTTTCTGTTGTGTTATTACAAGTGACAGGTGATATATTTCCTGTCAGTCGTGCAGATGAGAATTACTGACAACACGACGCAATTCGAGACAATTAATGGTCTAGAAAACAAACTATTCCGCCGTCGCAGTAACAAGTTTTTGTTATTTTCGAATAATAATGTCTTTATTATGTTTCAGGACTGATCTTCACAAGAATAATTAAGCAAAAGCATGTCATAAATATTCTTTTGCATATTTCATGGTGTCTGCGAGGTATTTCAAGTTCAATGCGGCGTAGCATTAGGAAACCAACGCAAAATTATGCAATATGCTAAAAATTATGCAATATGCTAAAAATTACGCCTGCGAGTGCAATCATCGACAAGAACGTCATTGTTATACAATAGTTATATCCTGTAATAACAGTGGCGCACAATACAAAATAACTTAACTGTCATGTTAAACGGTGAATAATAAGTAAGCGAAAGATGTTTTTTGCTTCGTAATTTCGGAAAACGCAAATTGTTGAAATTATCGTGTTTGCTTCGAAAACTTCAGGTTTTTTAAATTTGAATGTCTGATTTAAATACTTCAGTGTGTATAGAATCTTGATTGAAAAAAACACCACCATTTTCTTACCTGTAAAAACCTTCTGTTTCAGATTTCAAGAAATGCAAACAATTTCATTTGATATCGCGAGAACTTCATATTCATTGAACTGCATTGAACATAAATGTCATTTCGCAAATAATCATCATTTATCTAGGCATTTAATCGCGCTTTGAAGCATCGCGTTCCCTGCAGCGATCAAATCTGCGCGGATATTTTCCGCTGAATTAAATGCTGCTCGTTAAACGGATTAGCGAAAAGGTGTTAATGCCGTTGAACATCGTGCCAACAGGTTAATAAGTAATTTATCGGTTGTCATCATTCGACGGGAACATCGTGAGAAATCCAGCGGGAGATCCGGATGCTTCGCATTATTGAAAGGATCCAGCGACGGCGAAGCTTGCGGACTTCCACGCGATATGATGAATAAGTGAGATGATCAAAGTCTCGTTACGATGCGTTAAGATGCGTGTTACTGTACATATTTACATTTCCGATCCATGATGATGACAGATCCCATATTCTAATGAAGAAAAATGCTGAAGGTGTCGAAGCTGACCGACAAATGCAGGAGGACGAATACGATCCCTTCGCCAATCGTTCATTCGCACCTTTGACCTCGTACGACTTGCCATTTTCCCTTAATCGTCGTCGTAATTTTTATTTCAAGCTATCATATTAATCATTCTGAAAAATTTCTCATTAATATTGGAATCGGTATTGAAGTATATATGTCCTGTATTATAATATTTAATATTTATTACATTTTTTTCCTTTCTATATACTTTGTATAAAATTGAATTCCGTTGTACAATACAAAGGCAAATAATATTTCTTTTCTATTCTATTCTAATTTAATTTTCTTTCAGAGACTTTGCCGCGTTTATGCATCTGCTGAAGTGCGCGATCGGCACCGGCATACTCTTCCTGCCGCACGCTTTCAGAAGAACCGGCTACGCGATGTCCATTGTCTGCGGCATCGTCGTCGGCATGCTGTGCACTCACACGGCCGTCATCGTTGTACGTGATAACGCAGAGTGCGGGTGAACAGATTAAAATGCAATCACGCGTAGCGAACATTTTTATTTCGATACTCAGAGCAATAACAGGAGGGAGAGAGAAAAAATTTGCTTGTGACACCTGCCTTTTTTTTTTTGCAATGACTCAATTGTTTGCGCATCGCCAATGAGATAAGCCGTAAACATAGAGGGAAAGGAAGGTTCCGCGCGCCAAGTGCATCCGAATGCAGGCAAGGTTCTCTCTCAATGTGCAGGTGCAGTGCTCTCAAGCGTTATGCAGGCGTAATCGTGTTCCCATGCTGGATTTCGCCGAAACGGCGCGGTTCGCCTTTCAATCAGGTCCGGTGAAGATTCGAAAGTACGCCAGGCTATTCGGCGCAGTTACCAATGTAATCATTTGCTTCGTGCATTATCAGGCCGCCGTGATATACATCTTATATGTGGCCACGTCTTTCCAACAGGTACAGCCTCGTCATTCTTGCAGAAGTACAATAAAGCAAGATTTATTCAGCAATTCTTACGAATGAAAAGCTCTGTGTCTGTGCATGCACGAATATTCGAAAACAGCAGAGCTTAATTTTATTAATAAATGTTTTTTAACGAGAGAGTTTCTCTCTTATAGAAAAATTCTTTAATTGTAGCTTGCACTCGAATAATTGCGACTTGATATCTGAATTTTAAAGATAAAATTTATGAAGGATCTAATCAATTTATTATAAACATTTTTCGGAATTCTATAGATTACAACTACATCATTCGTGTCAGTGCTTCATAGTGCTTTTTATTATTGCAAAAGCGATACAGTTACAAAGCAGAAAGATACGAGGTTGCAAAGGTTGCGGGAAATCGATATCTACGAGAAGCTGCGATTACTTGCATTGTTTGCGACGTAGTTTTTACATGTTTCGATAACTCTGTAGATATCTGATTTCGATAATTTCGTGCTGAGTAATACACATTCTATGCCCGACATTTCCAGGTGATCGAATTTTTCTCGGGCCTCGAGGTGAACTCGCGTGTCTACATCGTCATCTTTTTTCCCTTCACTTGCGCCCTGGGCTTCGTGCCAAACCTCAAGTATCTGGCACCGTTCTCCGTCATCGGTACTGTCTTCTTGTTCCTCGGCGTCTGCGCCGCGCTCTACTACTTCTTCGACGACGTCCCCGATCCCCGTAGACTGAACGCTCTGACAGAGGTTCTACCTGTGCCCATGTATTGCGCGATTTTCCTATTCGCCTTACATAATATGACCTTGTACCTGCCGCTGGAGAACACGATGAAGCATCCTGGACATATGCCGCGTCTGGTCATCGCCAGCATGCTACTGAACACTTTCATATACCTGACTTTCGGCTTCCTCGGCTACAACAAGTACCCGGACGCCTGCGACACCGTCATCAAGAATTTGCCAATGGAAGAGACGTAAGTGTACGCGAAAACGATTTAATCGTTTTATCGTTCATATCTTTACTTATCTTTAGACGGATTTTATTGATATTCGCGCCTTCTTATCGATTCGATTGAATTATAATTTTCCGAGTAAATTATCGGCTTAGATATTCGCAAATGAGATATTCGAAAAAGTTGCATCATTGTGAACTTTCAACGCAAATAGAATTGCCAGAAATTGCAAACTAATCGTTATCGCAGGTGATTGAACTGTACATTACAGTTCGGAAGTCGACAAATATCGTCAAAACTATATCGGTCCGCGTCTGCTTTAAATTAATACAGTTGTGTAATTATGCCTACGCGTAACCAAGGTGAATTGATAACCGCGAAATAGAATGCACTTAACATGTAAATGATTATGTACATCTCAATGTATTCCGATTTATATTTCACATATTCCACATTCTTCTGTGGAAATCGTACGATACATACGAGTCCTTCAAACAAACTGAATTCAACGAAAGCAGAACGAGGCAGGCATCCGTGGAATAGAATTGCGCATACGAATATCTAATTGCTAGTATAATCACATAACCTTAAACTCACATGGCCTTAAACTCAATAGTGGCTCTCGAAATTAGCTCAAAACAACCTCAGTCAGATTATTGTACTTAGATTCAATGAGAGATCTATTTTTTGACAAATCGTTTGATTGCTGTAATCGCTAAGCTGCGTATCTCACGCTTGATATATCTTGGCCTCGTCTGTTATTAAATCAAATACTTATCTATCGTGGCCAACAATGTTCTGTGTTCGTAGCACATGTTTAATGACGTAGCTTATCTTATAATGTTATTGAATTTTTCTCTTAATTAGAATGCATACTCAATGCATTCCATTGAATTATCAAATTACAACACGTACGTATTTTTTTATTTTTGTAAACATTGTTGGCAAATGTTAAATCATTATGATTAAAACATAATAAAACAGTGTCAATTATGATCAATTGACATTAATAAGATTTTTCATAAGCGATTAATGAAAGATTATTCTTTCATCGTTAAATATATAAAAAAATGAATATATAAAACTGCAACATTAATTTTATTTAATTCTTCTTTTGATATAATAATATTATTGTGAAATGAAACGTTATATCATTATACGTATCGTGAACCAAAATATTGCTTTATCATAATCTTGGATTCATGATAATGTTAGATTAAATGCAGACATCTCAAAGTTAATATTCGTTACGTTTCATTATCGCTTATTTTGCGTAATTTACAGTCTGGCTCAAATAGTCAAAATAGCCATCTCGTTGTCGGTGCTGTTTACTTTCGGTTTGGCGTATTACGTTCCATTCAGCGTGCTGTGGCCGATGATCCGCTCGAAAATCATTACGAAGAGTTTGTTGTATCATCGATTCTATGAAATTTCGTTTCGACTAGGCGGTGTAATCGGAACCAGTAAGAACGTTGCGATACGACACGAATGATGAATGTAATTCGCAGAAAGTAAATCGTGGCCTTCTCTCGGTCCGCAGCAATGTTGGCCGCCGCCGTGCCCCAAATGGTACCTTTACTGGGTCTGCTCTCCGCCTTGGGCATGTCCACGATCATGCTGCTGATACCCATACTGATCGAGACGTCGACTAAGTGGGCGGAAGCCACGAGGACGATGCTCGCGAAGAACGTGGCTATTTTCATCGTGTGGCTGCTAATCTTGGTGCGAGTTTTCTCACAATTGAAAATAAAATAGCGAAAGAAATAACTTTAATTCTATAACTTGAAAAAAGTTAGAATAACAAAAAATAGAAAATTAAAATGCGAGAAATGCGAGATTAAAGGAGGAACTTCTTAAGTTCTTAAAAAATGAGATCAATATACCGGACTTAACTAAACCCTGACACAAATATTAATTTTAGTTGAAAATTTATTTGCTCTTTCTTTCGGATTGCATTCTTAGATTAGCAATCTCATGTATACTCTATATAAATATTTAATGTCTGAGAGAACAACTTCTTTTCAAGATTTATCGTTATCTCTAGTTGATGCAATGTTTTGTATATATTGCAGATTTTTGGTGCGATAGAGAGTACACGGTCAATTATTAGAGAATATAACGGGGAGAAGCAAGATGAGTGTTGAACATGCAGCGGCTCGTGAAATGATTTGAGAGGCTTTTAGTATAAAATTATGACGCTATTTCCGGTCTGCGATAATATAATACATCGTAAACAGTCTGAAGTCACATTAATATTAAGGAAACATCATGTAATATTCTATAAGAAGCGAAAGAGTTTTAGCAGGACAATGAAACAACAAAATAAGAAAGATAAAAAACCGTTTAAAAGATTTTTTGCTTGTTTTATTGCTTGTTGCAAATTCGCCGTGTTGTGTTTCGCGCAGAAAGAAATCTTCCGCTCGCAAATTTCCTCGTCATAAAACAAGAATATCATTCCAACTTACACAACCAATTTCTGGCGACTGGATAAAAAAGAATTGAGAATAAACTCGGGTGTGTTTCTCTGCGACTTTGAAAGCGACATTAATGCGGAAATCGAGAATTCGTAAAATTCCCGCGAAGATTGAAATGCGGTGTTTACCACATTACGAAGGGGACACTTTTAATTTTCCTCAGACAGAACTTACGTAATGCACGACGTAGTAACGTTGCTCACAACCTGGAAACAAGAGCAACAACTTACAATGAGAAATTACGCCGCGGTGAGAAGGGGAGACCATCCGGGGATTTTTTTGCAAGAAGATGAAGAGAGACGGGGCGAGAGAGCGGGCTGTGAATGAAAGAAGATAAGGATAAGGTGAAAGGGAGCGCGTGTGATGTAGAGGCACGAATCGAGCTGATCGCAGTCGAATAACCGACGTCCCTATGGGTACAAAACTCGAGTACGAGCGGAATTGCTCAACGTTATATTCTTCAGGAATATCGGGAATATCGACAGTCTCGAGCTCGAGCACTTTGCCGTGTTTGTCGATAACTTTTTATTTTATTTTAAGTGTCATTAATTGGTTTGTCGTGCGGGAATCAAGGACATATAATGGGATACAGAAGCGGAAACGGCGCTGAGAATTGAGTGAGAACAAAAAATAATTCGACCATCGTACTGGCCAGCATTTCGAGAATGTGTAATTTCAGTGAATTCAGATTTTATATTGTCAACCTACGAAATGATGATTCAGTTGTATACATAGCGAAAATTGAGACATGTATCTAAATATTGATTTACAAATTTATTTGTTCTCAAATGTTTTTGTAATTATTTTACGCTGCACATGCATCATGCATATTTTCAGATTTACGATGTGTCAATCTTTATCATTTTTATCACTCATATTTCATGTCACAGTTTATATTATGAAAACTAAAACATCGATTTCGCCGACAGGCTGAATCGAGTAAAACGAGTTAAACTGCTTTGCTTTTTCTTTTTTTAATTATATTTGTGCACTTATATAGAAATTGTAAAAGATATGTGATAAACAAGTTATAAAAGATAAACAAGTAATTTTTATCTAGATCTTTCTTAATAAACACATGTTAAGTGAAACGTGTGAAAGAATTTTCGCTATCTATAAAACCATAGTAATATATATATGTTGATAATTCGTCGAAATTACGCAGAATGTAATTCTTGCACACGCCGTTTATCGTGAGTACTTCAAAGTAACGTCCAATCGAGCACATTACAGACGTCTACTATCTACTCCCTCCCTTCCTAGTGTACTCACACGGGCGAGGAAGCTCGTGCTCAGTAGTCACTCACGTGCATTGACTGCCCGTATATATACACCTGGCTAATACCGAAACATGTCCAGTCGTGTGCGGTCTGTCACCGTTCCACATTAATTTCGTTGTCTTCGTTACCTCAGCATCGCTACCATCTCGATGTCAGAGTGGGGGAAAAGGAATCTGACACCTCGAAACAATCAACAAGTACTAAATCATCCTGCACATCACAGACAAATCTAGAGTTTTGGAATCAGAAGTCATCAACCGTCCGGATAATCGCGGATGGGAGTCCATCATTGTGAGAAATCTTGAGATCGTCCTAAATATTGGTGATAATTTCTGATTAAATTTAAAGATAACACGTATCGATGACTTATCAGATAATTCATCGTCAAAACCAAAATTTTCTTTACAACGGAGCCTTCCGTCGTCGCCGAGGAGAAATCTCTCTGTTCCTCACCTCTCGCAGCGCGACCGTTTATTTTTCAAAATATTTAAGTCCCAACGTGAGATCCGCACCGACGTAGATTTGCAACATTAATTCCATTCATAAAAACAGCTTTCCATCAATACCGGTGAAGACCATCCGGTTATTATCTCTTTGCGCAATTACGAGTCAGGCACAATTGGCGCAGATTTCGCCAGAGATTTCGTAAATCATACCTGAAGATATATCCGGCCTATCGCTTTCTAATTCGCCTATAAATTATTATTATTATTTCGATTTATAATATACATACAGTCTTTAAAAAAGAAAAAACAGATACGAGACCTTGGGCAGAACTGTTTCCATTTAAACAGCGTGCCAATATTTTGCGCTCTACAAAAAGAAAGAAATAGAAAAGAAACAGAAGGAGAAAGAAATAAAGTAAAGGACTTTAGGTAGACAAGAAGTTCTGAAAACTAGAAGCTTAAGAACGTCGGTATTTGCATTTGCCGCGAAGGACAATGTGAATCGAGAAGATCCGGTATTCTTCAACGTCATCAGGAAGAGAAATAGACGTCCTTCAACGTGTTCAGGATTTATTATTCCGCAATATATAAAAGTAAGTACTAGTTTTAAGAGTCATTACAGTTATTATAGATGTATATTAAAAAATTTATGAATATTAAAATTTGTTATGTAAAATGTAAATATTTGTTACGTAAAAAGGATCGTTAGTTAGAAAACTATTTTTTGTTCATAGTTAGCTTAAGGAGTGCATTTATCTTTGACACGATACGTATTCTTACGTCGTCACTGATAAGGTGATTATCGACGCATTAGTAAGCGAAAAAAACGTAATTTTTTTGCAACAAGAAATTCGCTCATTAATTTATTGTATTAAAAATAATATACGAACATTTTTTTCTTCTACACGCACGAACAGGCCCTATTAGAGGTCTTTATTCTATTCAATTTTCAGCGTAATAAATTTTAATAATAAACTTTATTTGGAGTTATATAGTAAATCGAATTTACTAATTAATTTATAAAAAATGGGGAATAAATGTAGCACAATTCATAAATCACACTGTTATACTAAATATTCGGTAAGTAAATTTATAATATATAAACTTATAATTTATAAATCTTTTATATATTAATACGGCAAATATTAACACGGCTAATACTTATCAAGAGATTAAACGACAACAGTTAAGTGCAATTAATCCTTTTAAGTGATCGTATATCGCGACAAGGATAAGAAGGAGTACCAGATTTACATTATGACCGAATCAAGCTTCTGTAGACTGAATCGATAAAAGATTAACGATAATTAACGCAATCCCACTCGATACGCTCTTTTGTATTAATATATAAATAGTCAATATGAGCGGTTTCAATAAAAGCGGTTTATGCTAACAATAAGACCAATATTTACGTATGTTTGCTTGATAAATATTTATAGATTCATTAAATGTCAGATATCAGCTATCTCGCGCCCATTCAAAAGCGTTCTTGACGAACTACTTCTAAGCGTCAAACTTTTCAAAAGCGAGGTCTAAAAGATGCTTCATTCTGACATGTCACATCGTGATGAAAGTGCCGCATTTAATTTATTGATTTATTTAAACAATAAATTATATCGTGAATTAGTTATTCTTTGCAGTTTGTTGAAATAATAATAATATTATATTTATTGAATATTTTTAAATAGATGTATTGCACAGAAATTTGCAACATTATCTACTTCTTGTATATAATTCGTTCTAAGTTGTGAAAATTAGAAAGTTCCAACTTCCAGACAATTCAACTTTTTGTTGTAGAGGATAAAAATAGTCCTTTGTAATAATAAAATGTTTTGCAACGGCGGTCAACGGACTGAGCGCGTATTTAAGAAAACGATAATTGCGTTTGTATAACTCGTGCGCATATAAAATATAATCTTTAAAACATTTATAACAAATATTTATATCTTATGGCTTATCATTATAAACAATAATAATGTGAAAGACGAGAGTTAAAGATTGCAGTCTGCTCTGCAAAATATAAATACTATCAAACTTATCAATAAGACTTCTGTGAATTAATATGATTCATTGATTGACTTATAAAGAACTGAATAACATAATTCTCTCACGATTTTGTATATTATATCTCAACGCGACGTGTCAACGCGCGTAAAAATATTGCTATATTAATAATATATCAATTAATATTATTATAATATTATTATATTAATATTATAACATTGTATTCGATATTAATAATAATAAATTTTCCTTTAAATAGTGATGCTTCTTGTATCGTTATCGTTAACACTTGAGCAAAGTGCAATTTATCATAATCCTTCGGTTAAATAAAGTGACGCTTTTAAAAAGCTTTTAAAGTGTTAAAACAAGACGTATAAAAATTTTATAAATACATCTGATCGCAAACATTTTGAATCGTTATCGCAATTATAATATCACGATGAATGTTTTTTGTTAATAGTTAATATTTTTTACAAGGTCAAGTTCCCCGCCTCTGCAAATTGTCGGCGTTAATTACAAGCGCAGTTTTTCGTTACGTATTCACTTCTCGCCATTGTCCTTTGCGGTCTGTCGGTGTTGGAATATGTATGAGATGTGGTCTCAATTGTGCGAGTCCTTCGCGACATTGTATGTAATCTTTCGAATGTGTATCGCACATACGATCAAGGATTCCCTCAAGAACCCACAATTACATATTTAAATCTGTTGTTACTGCTGAGTGAGGTCACGTCAAGTTTGTTTATTTTATGTCAAAGACGTTTATATACCGTTTTTGTATTAAAGTGGGGAAAGCGGAGATCAAGAAGTAGTTCGCTATCGGCTGCTTGCGATCTTGAGCGCAATCGGCTCTCTTGCACAATTTTCGTCTTTTTTATTTCTCAAGCAAATCTCGGTTCGGGTTGTCCGGCGGATCGCAATCCGCGAAAAATTTTCATCATCGAAACAAATGGCATGTGCGGTTTTATCTGTAATAAATTTCAGAGAAACTTTTAAGAAAATTGGTCAAGGTGAGGCGCCATGTAATATCCACTTATCGTATATATATATCGCGTATATGTATCACGTACACGTGGTATCTGTATATTTTTACGTAACAGACTCCTGTCAATTTTTTATAAGCTCGTACTATGTCGCTGATCGCTGTATTATTTTTTGCAGGCTTCTTTAACACATTCCGATGTAACCGATAAAACTGATAACTAGTGGTAATTGAAGAAATCAAACTTTGTATTATCACGTTTCGATAAACTGTTATACAATCGATTTTTCAGAGACCTGTCGCATTTTTCTAGTGCATTTTGATCAAATAGAATTGTTATTCGATTTTTTATCGGTTTTTTTGTTAGCTATTTAATAGAAGAATTGTTTGAACATTTAAAGTAAATGTTATATATATATATATATAAGAATGTAAATTAAAAATTTCTTTATAACATCTTAATCTTATCAAGAATTAGTCTGAAAATGATTCGCTGATTTTTTTAATTCAAGTACTTTTTAACTGATGCACGGCTATCAAGAACAAAAAGATTATTACATATCAGTTTTCACGATCAGTTAACTTTAATGAGACTTACCTTGTTTGATTCCAATGCCACTCTGACGATAGAATATGTTAGTAATTGTAGAATTTTTTCAGTTTTTTTAATATTTTTTGCACAAATACGAGTGTTCACAAGTATTAGAATTTAATCAATATTATCTATGACATCATTGTTGAGAAATTCAATGTTTTTGCGAATTATAGCATTGATTCATATCAGTATGAAAAATTACAATCAATCAATATTTGTTTAACGGCTGATTATTTAACATTTTATATTTACGATGATATTTACGCTGAGGAAGCTTTCGTTTCCAAACAGCATGAATGATCTGATAACACTTATCGATTGCAATGCGTCAACAATTTATTTTGTTTGGTAGATGGTGCAATGGTAGATCTATGTTCTATAGAGTTAAGAAGCAGTAGCAATAAAGAAAATACCCATTGTCGCTATTTACTTTTCCTGATTTCAGTTATTGCAACTAAAAAGTTAAAAACACTAAAAACATTAACATCGTGATAGTATATTTGTTGTCATTGCAAGAAATAATTTTTAGTATTATTAATATAGTTATAATTTTGTCGAGCACATTATGTACATAGTTTAAACTTAATTTATTTAATTGTGCAATATTTATTTAAAACTTGTAACAACATAATACAGACATATATATTTATTTATTATTAGGATCAAATCTCTTTCACAAAAAATTTTTGTTATGACAGAACCACCATGGGTCGAATACAGGAAGAATCGTCCGGCAATCCTATGCAGGAATTCAGCAGCACGTATGTTCATCCACATCCATTGTCTATATTTAGTGTTATAGCAACGAAATAACATAAACATTGATTGCAATGTAAATTTTGTTGATTGCGTCGCAAAAATTGATTGATAGAGTACACGATAATTCTGCCAATATTATGCAGATCGCGCAGTAACGATAATATGGGCGAGATTGATGACTTTTTTAATGAGTATCGTCTAGTAGATAATACGTTTTTTGTATACACAGCGTCTGTAATCGTTATTGATTAAGGACGATCGTGGAGACACAATTATATCGCGTTTGTGCAAAGATAGCAAGCGCGTTTTACAAACCGGTTTTCCTCCGCAACTTATCAAGATATTTCAATTCAGCGTGTTGTCAAACTCGGCGAGTCGCGTGACGAATGACACTGCGAAATATTCACCAGATTATTGATTTGTCCTGCCTCAGATTACGTTCACGACATCCACTCCTCTAACACAGGAGACAATGTAATTTTTTCTGCGAAATTAAAGTATCTTTTGTAAGAAGCTGAAAAGAATTAACTTTCATTTGAAAAATATTTTAACGCAAAAAATTATCACTAATGTATCAATCGATCACTTGTGAGATAACACAGAATATCGTAAAAAATAAATCTCTTCCTTTAAACTTATTGTTCTTCGTAAATTTACAAAACATTTTAATATAACAAAAATATTACTACCATTTTTTTATTTTAATTGCATTTAAATGTTGATATTTAACAATGAATCCCGTTTTCAGCTCGAAGATAGCTCCGACCGTCATCGGCGAATATAAGGAAAAAGATGAACTATATGATCCTTTCGAGCATCGTGACAAACATAATGCGACCTCGTAAGTTTCGTTCTAGCGTTTTTATCAGCATATGTCAATTGACATGTTTTTCCATATTTTGCCAGCAAAATCGTGTACTATTTTTAACATTCAAATTACTAGCCACAACTGCATTCATGTTTATGCAAAAGTTTAAACTCATCGTCTTAGAAACTTAAAAAGCTTATTTTCATTCAATTGTCGGAAAAAATATGAAAATGCATACACAGTCTGGAAGTTTTTTAATTATATTGAATACATTTTAATGCTCTCAATGCATTTCAGATAACATTGAAAAGAACAACATATTTATTTATATAAGTAAATTTTTTACAATAGTAATAAAAAATCGCACGTTAGAAGACGTAAGATTATTTTATAGAACAATTTTCTCAACGTAGATTTAATGAAAAATGAATTTATATCAAATATACTTTTATAATTATTATGTTAACAGTACGCACAATGTTGTACGCATAATCGTTGAATAAGTGTCATACTCACAGCAATGCAATGTGATTCAACATCATGCTCTGCATTTCAGGGATCTGGGCTCCGTGATGCACCTCCTGAAATCCTCTCTGGGGACAGGAATTCTGGCTATGCCACACGCGATCAAGAACGGCGGCCTGCTATTCGGTGGAATCGGCACGATCATAATCGGCTTCATTTGTGCTCATTGCGTGCACATATTAGTACGCACGTCCCACGTGCTTTGCCGGCGCACCAAGACGCCGCAGCTGACGTACGCCGAGACGGCGTACGCGGCCTTTTTCTGTGGGCCCAAGTTTGTCAGGCCTTGGGCGAACGTTAGCAAAATATTCGTAAACGTCGCACTGTGTGCGACGTACGTAGGCGGTACGTGTGTCTACATCGTGTTTATTGCATCGTCCCTTAAGCAGGTATGCATAATTCATTATCGCGAGATATCATCTGTTGCATGCAAAATACATTGATATAGTGAACTTATCGGTTTTTGCATATAATTAGTCTAGTATTGTGATTTAAAAATCGAGAATTGAGATCAATGTGCGAATTAATTGAGGATATTTTATAAAAAATATGATTAAAGCTGAGAAATTAATTATCAGATTATTTAATTAATCAACTGAATCAATACATCGCGATTTTTATTATTTATCCGATATCAAGTGACTTTTTCATACTACGATTATAACATTAACTAATTATTTAATTACTTAACAGAATCAATACACCGCAATTTTTATTATTTATCAAGTGATAAATATCGAGTGATTTTTTCATACTATTGTAACGCGACAATTATTGGAAAAGTAACAGAAAAATTCATATCCGATAGCGATAGCGATAATTGCTGTCGCGTGTGTAACTATCAGAGTGCAATCGATTAGTATCATCACTTATAGTCTTAGTTGCTATCAATAAGCTTTTTTCTATTTATAATCACTGAGATTGTATTTAAGTCGCAATTACTCATCGTATCGCGAGTCATTGAATTATTCGACAACTACTTTACATCACTTTGCATTTTCATTCTTTAAATCAAGCAAGTTACTCGTCCTTCTTATTCTAAAAAATAAGATTATTATATTTAATCAAAGCTAATTTAATTACTTTCGAATTGTGTCCTCTTTTTATTATGAACGCTCGGTCGTTCCCTTCACGAAACTATGTCGCGATACCGCCCCGAGCCCTTCCGCAAGTCGTGACCGAATCAATCTTTCCTGTCATCGCTGTACCCCGTTTTCTCTTCTCAGGTCACGGACTTTCGCACCGGAAGAAACATAAACATACGCCTGTACATCGTCTCGTTGATACCGGCATTGATACTGCTCGGCCAAGTGCGCAATCTGAAGTACCTGGTGCCGTTCTCGCTGCTAGCCAACATCTTCATGTTAAGCGGCTTCTCAATCACGCTCTACTACGTCTTCAGTAGCATACAGTGGAATAATAATCCGAATGTCAAACTGTTCGCCTCCGTCGAGCAACTGCCCCGCTTCTTCGCGACTGTGATATTTGCCATCGAAGGTATCGGCATTGTAAGTTGTCAATACATGTAAATGTATCTTCTTGCGTTTTTTTTTTCTTTTCGCATCCTCGAGCGTATCTGAATTCGATCGTGTTCGCAGGTGATGCCTGTGGCGAACAACATGCGACACCCGACCCACTTCCTGGGCTGTCCTAGCGTGCTCAACGTCACGATGTCGATAGTAGTAGCCCTGTACGCCGTGATGGGAATATTCGGTTATCTCGCCTACGGCGAGCACTCGCTGGCGAGCATCACGCTGAATCTACCCGTCGAGGACGAGTAAGTAGATCGTCTTTCTTGCTGAATGCTCGGCACAGCTCGGTATGAAGTCACGGACTAATGGATGGATGTTGTTTCAGTCTGGCCCAAGCTGTCAAACTGCTCATTGCCGCGGCCGTCCTCTTCACTTACGGCCTGCAATACTTCGTGCCGCTCGAGATCATATGGAATGCCATAAAGCACATGTTCAGCCACAAGTACGAGGCCGTCGGCGAGACGTTTATGAGAATAGGCATGGTTATGTTAACAGGTAAGCGTATTCCATATCATGCGAATTAAAATAATGAGAACAGTTATTTTTAATCTGCTCGTTGATGAATTTGTTACATAGCGAAATAATTAACAACAAATTTTTTTTTTAAAAGCGGCACGTTCTTCATTGCGCTTCAGAGAGTTAACGACGCTCTTCCGGTTGCCGTTTTTATCGCGATCTTCAACGCCTTTCTACCTTCGCGATATTGTTAACAAAAGTCGTGAGATTTCTGTAGCGGTAGAACTTTTTTCTTCGATGTTCTAGTAATCGCGAGACAGAGAAACCGCTATTAAACCGCGATGAATCGCGCTCCTGGTAGGAGGTCGATCGGAGACTCGATCGATGAGCCGATTGAACGGTGTCACCCACTTATTCCGCGTGCGTATATGCGCTTATTTTTTTTTTTTTTAGTTGCTGAACGTACCGAGAAAGAAAGGAATCGCGTGTCTGCGTGTCTGCTTCGCTCGACTCGCGTCAGTTCCTTTGATAGGTACAATGGATTCGGCCCAGTTTGGTCCGCCTCCGATTCAATTCTTTACCGTTACGGACTCAGTGATTCTTCCTCGCTTATTACGATCTTATACTATAAACATCGACCAACATGTATAATTCTATTATGTGTATATATCTGATTACACGGACATAAAGTGATTATAATTCATGCGGTCGTCAATGTCATATCATCATCAGTACGCGCTAAAAGAATTCGGAATACTTAGAAAACTAGCGCGCAAAATTAATTATATTCAATATATATGTATATTTTTATATTCATACAAGTTACAATCTGTGAATATTATAATTATTATTCCATGCAAGATAATTGTTTTAAATAGATACAAAAGTTGCAGGGATTCTTTCTTAATTATTTAGGTAACTATGTCGGAAAACGTATGTGTTTATTCATTTGCTGATTTTTTCATTGAATAGTTGTGTACAATGCAATGAAAATCGTTAAACTGATCGGTAGCATTTGTTGATAATTGAAGTTTGCTTGTTTAATATAATTGTAAATCTCGATTTTGCTGGAAAGTAACGATTAGAATATATATTTTTCCGATTTTTGCAGTGATAATAGCAATAGCAGTACCCGAATTGGACCCGTTTATCTCTCTAGTCGGTGCAATATTCTTCTCCATCCTCGGCATCAGTATTCCAGCCGTTGTGGAGACGATTTCGTGCTGGGAAGGACACTTAGGTGCTTTGAAGTGGCGCTTATGGAAAAACAGTGCGCTGCTTATATTTTCGTTATTAGCGTTAGTCTTCGGCACGTGGATCTCATTGTCAGATATAATAAAAATTTATACTAAGTAATAAATATTAATAAATATTTTATCAAAGCACTTTTTCTCAATTCCTCACGTGATCAACTAATTAGCGTTGTGTATTTCCATGCTCTAAATGATACACGCGTGAATTACGTGATGTTAGTATATTTTGCGGCATCGGACTGGCCGTAATTATCTTCCTAATTTCTCCTCCATGCAGAAAAAATTGTCGTCAGAATAATACAGATGCCGATTGTTATCGGAATTGACTGTAGAAATTCGCACACGAACATTATTAGTTGAATCTGATACGCGTACGATATGAAACGTATGTTTATCGGGGAGGTCTACAATATATATATATATATATATACAAAGCGTATCAGAAAATGCATATTTTCTGTTATTAGTGTAAAACGTATTTCACTTGAATTGAATAATTAATATAAAAACAGTGAGAAATTTGCAAACTCTGTTTTAAAGCACAATTTCACGTTTAGAGCACAGTGTTCTTTCAAATCGAATTTTGCAATTCCATAATCCTTACCTCTGCAGTCCACATTCACGAAAAGTAACCCTCGCTAATGTTTGTCAGCAAATTGACGGGTTGCTTGCTTTCATGTTGAGCTGCGCTCTCTTGTGACCCGTCACCGGCAATCCTGTCATTTGGTTTATGAACACGTCCGTGAAGTGCAGTTCCTCGTCTGGTTTCATATCACGCGAGTAATGCAATAAATCAGAAGAACCACGCAGAAAATGCGGCTTGGAGAAAATATCGGACGATCCTAGTTATAAAATTTATATTGTAAGCCATCTGAATAACTCTTTTATTTTTAATAATAAAAAAAAAGTATTTCAGACAAGATTTGCATGATTTCGAAGGAGTCATTACATAGTATAAATGTAGTACATAGTACATATGTATTTTTTTTATAGTGAAAGACGTGTCGGAGATTTGAAGGTCAACTTTGATTTTTTTATTAATTTTTGTCATCCTACTCTTATAACTTTTTGCGCCGAATATTGCGAGGAATCAATTTATATTAAAAAAATCAGAATGTTCCATTAAAAAAATCAAAGTTGTCCTTTAAATCTCCGAAACGCTTCCAGTTATAAAAAATATACATATATTATGTAATGATCCCCTTAAAAATCATGCAACTTTTGTCTGAAACACTTTTTTCTATTATTAAAAATAAGAGTTAATCAGGAAGCCTGTTTTGGATGCCTCACCCTGTATACAGGGTGTCCTGTAAAGACCGTAACAACGCTTAGGGATATATTTCTGAGATAATTCTGAGCAAAATCTCTAAATACCAAAATACTCAGAGTGTAATGGTTTTTGAATTAGAAGCATTTAAAGTTAGCGAATAAGATAGCCTGAAATTTGCGCGCTCAGGTGTGTACAGTGATAAAAGCGAAATTTACTATCGCTCTCCTGTTGTCAATATTAATATTTGGAAATAAATTTGCTAATACATATTAACATAAATATTGTTTACACAAATAAGATTTTGTTGAAAAAATTATAAAGAAAAAAATATTATGATACACAAAACGCAAGCTGTCAAAAATTACATGTCTTTGACATTATTTTTTATCTTAGTAATTTTATCTTGGTAATAATTATTGAATCATAACGTCCTCATTACCAAATATTTGGTAATAATTACTAAATCATATCGTCCTCATTACCAAATATTTGGTAATAATTACTAAATCATATCGTCCTCATTACCAAATATTTGGTAATAATTACTAAATCATTTCGCCCTCATTACCAAATATTAGGTAATAAATACCAAATATTTGGTAATAGTTACCAAATATTTGATAATAATTGCAAATTGATTTGGTAATAATTACCAAATATTTGTTAATAGTTACCAAATATTTGGTAAGCTACTAATTATTTGGTAATAGTTACTAAATATTTGTTAATAGTTAATAAATGATATGGTAATAGTCACTAAGTATTAGGTAATAATTTCCAAATATTTTGTAATAGTTACCAAATATTTGATATTAATTACAATATGATTTGGTAATAATTACCAAATAATTGGTAATTTCTAATAAATATTTTCTTGAATAAAAAAATTATTATATAATTTTAATGAATATTTACTTGATTCTAATAAATATTTACTTGATTCTAATAAATATTTACTTGATTCTAATAAATATTTTCTTGATTTTAATAAATATTTATTTGATTCTAATAAATATTTACTTGATTCTAATAAATATTTATTTAAATAAACAAAGTCATTTACTTGAATAAAAAAAATATTTACTTGATTCAAGTAAATATTTACTTAAAATAAAAAAAATTATTTACTTGAATCCACTCTTAAAAAAGGTATGAAAAATCGATACTCGAATGTATCGAAAGTATTGTTGACGCTTTTCCGCGACGCTGATTGTTATCTTGATTATTCTGGCAGTTTGATAGTTTGAGAGCAAAGGTTATTTTGGCGGTTATTTAAAATTAAAATAATTTTTTAAAAATATTTAGATTTTATAATTATTAAATTATAATATTAAGTGCGCGCGTGTAGCGCGCACTTGTATTGTTCTAGTACATGTAAAATAGAAAAGATGGAATACTTCATCGCGTCAAAAGTTTGTTGTATTGCCATCTAGCGATAATGTATTATAACATTATTACATACAAGATGTCTATTCATGTTCACCAGGTGGCGCGAGAATGCTGCATCAATGCATTTGCAGATTCATTTCATCGTGTAGTTTAGGAGCAATAATGGCCGCGTTCAGGTCTACGGGTCTTGAAGCTTAGTTTTTCTACATTAATCCTGTTTCTTCTATCTTATTTCAGTCAGACTCGCCCGGAAATTCACGCTTGCAAAAATTCACGTGCCAGTTTCGGGTTCGCCTTTTTTTTTTTATCGCTCACGTGCAGTAAATCAAACGGTAGGACGGCATAACCTCCCGATTGATAGTCGACCTGATAGCCGCCAGGCGTTGCATGTGTTACAATGGCAATGAACGAGGATTTCAATTTCACCGAGCTCTGTAGACTGTGCTCGTTGAAGAGTACGCACCAGATGCAGATTTTTGACAAGGAAGGCGAGCAACAACAGCTATTGTTCAAGTTACGCTCTTGCATTCCTACTGTGGTGAGTAATCAGGATCACCTGGATCTATAAGATTATTATTGTTCCGACTCGATCATTTTGACTAAATTTTGTGTTTAAGATATAAGTAATTTATTAAATAATAGCTTTTGTTAAATTTGATTTGAATTAAATTAATTTAAATTTTTCAATGTAGATAATATCACGTGCGCAAAATATTTTTTAAAAATATTTTTAAAAATATGAAAAAGTTTTTATGTGATATAAATAATTTATTAAATAATTGCTTTTATCAGTAAGCTTTGTTTTATTAATAAGCTTTTATTAAATTGCATTTGAATTGAATTAATTTGAATTTTTCAGTGCAGATGATACCACGTGTTGAAAATATTTCAAAAATTTATGGAAAGGTTTTTATGAGATATATAGTTTATTAAATAATAACTTTAATTGGCAACCTTTTTGTTTTATTAATAAACTTTTATTAAATTCGATTTGAATTGAATTTATTTGAATTTTTAATGTAGATAATACCACGTGCTCAAAATATTTTAAAAATATATGGATAGGTTTTTATGAGATATATAGTTTATTAAATAATAGCTTTTATTAGTAAGCTTTTTGTTTTATTAATAAACTTTTATTAAATTCGATTTGAATTGAATTAATTCGAATTTTTAATGCAGATAATACCATGTGTTCAAAATATTTTAAATTATATGGATAGGTTTTTATGAGATATATAGTTTATTAAGTAATAGCTTTTATTAGTAAGCTTTCTGGTTTATTAATAAACTTTTATTAAATTTGATTTAAATTGAATTAATTTGAATTTTTTAATGCAGATAATACCACGCGCTCAAAATATTTTAAAAAATTTATGGAAATGTTTTTATGAAAGGCAAAATTGTTAACAATATTAAAAGAATTATAGTGTTTTAAAATTGTTAAAAAGCAGTTACTGGATTTGTGTAGAAGGCTATTTGGATTAAAGTGATTTAAAAACTTATTTTGTGTTTCATAGATCAATTTTAAGAATTTTATGATAAAAAGTATAATTATCAACAATATAATTTTATGATAAAGCATTGATTTATATGATTTATGATTATTAGATTAGATTTTATTATTTTTTATTTTATTATGTTTCCATAAAGCTTGAAAATAGTATCCAGAGAGACTACCAACTGAGTGTGATAAAAATATTTAAGTGTGTTCAATATTTCATTACAAAAGAATCTATTTTGTAATATAAAAAGCTAGATATTTCAAACCAACTCATAATTTTATTTTTATCAATTTTACGTTAAATCAAAAGAAAACATGAAATTTCACTTTATTGCAGATAACAAAAGAGGATGGACTGCCAAAATATATCTGTCAAAGATGTATCCATAAATTAAATATGTTCTACGAATTTCGTATGAACTGTATAAATACAGAACAGGTGTTAAAGGATTATGCTGATAGTTTAAAGATCATTACTGCAGTCAACAATCAAGTAAGTAAAATTATAGCATTGCTCTTTGTATGCAGAATATATTTTGTGCTGCATGACAATTTGTATTTATAACAATTATATCTTATGAATCTTACTATACACAACAAAGTGCTTGTGCATAAAAATTTCTAGTTGATTTGATCATATTAATGATAACTAAATTGCTCTTTCCATCGATTACTGCTGAAAGTTTAAAACATGAGAAATTATGTGTCTCACGATTGACCAAATTGTTTTCTCGGCGTGCAAAACGCGAGTTTTTTCTCTCTCGTCACAATATTCATCGCGACGTGTTAAAGCAGTTTTATATTCAATTTAGCTTCGTGTTACACGCATTGTAAAAAGCTCTTTACGCTTTATACGGTTTTTTTTTGCTCTGTTTTCATCTTACAGTAACTCGGTAATGTAATGATTTTTCTACAATACTACGACTAAACACAAAGGCTAGCCAACTAGTTAGAGTATTATGTTAGAGGTAAATGATAAGTGTATCTTTCACCTTCCGTGCAGCGAGCGAGATAGACAAGAGCGGTCGGACAAGAACGGATTCTGACGTCAAAGGGATCACGGGGGGGGGGGGATGCGTGTAGAGGCGTCGTTGATCGGTAGCCGGAGGTGTTCTCGTCCCCGCTGACCCTCCTTCCGCGTCTGCTGCAGCCGACGGCGCGCGATCTCAATAATTCCACCCTCGCGTACGCAACGGATTGCCGATGGGGGGGCAAGGAGAGATAAAGAGAGGGAGAGAGGGAGAGAGAGAGACCGGCGTCGCGACGTCTATTGATCGGCGCGTCGCGACAGCGAGCCGCGTCGCGCGCACAGAAAGCGAAAGTCGTAGTAAACTCCTTTCTTCGCCGTCTCGACTGGTCCCCGCTGTTCCCCGCCTTAGCCGTCTGCTTTAGCAACCTATTTCCCTTCCACCTGCCGTATTCTTCTTGTTCGCGTCACGTAATACCTCCCTGCTCTTTTCTTAATTTTGCTGCGTTCCTTCGTGCACCCCTTCATCTTTCTCCATTTGCTTCATCTCGACCGTGGTCTTCAGTATTATTAACTCTTTTTCTTTTTTGTTTTTTTTTACTTAACTTATCTATTTGTTAGTATGATGGAATGTACGTTATACCTGTACTGTTACCCTATCTGACATCACCTATTTTCTGCTAGGCGGTTTCAAAAGCTTATAATTACGCTGTAATTGAAAGAGAGCTGCTATCGACTTTTTGCGCTTTTCGCACTCTTTGCACGAGTGAATTTTTTACACGTATTTGTGTGTCATGTTCCCGGAGAACTTGGTCAGAACGCGATGTAAATCCTACTCCGTCCTCTCTTTTCCATCCCCCCCCCCCCGTCCCTCCTCCTATCTTTCTATCTCCTTTTATTTCTTTATTGGCTTCGTACTTTCTCTCTCAATCCTTGCCACCTCTCTCCTGGCCGATCCAACAGTCCTAGGCACAGGTGCAACGTGAGTTGCCGCGCTCTCCTCCGAGAAACCTGTTTCGAAACCCGGGATATCCCGACGATCGACGCAGCCTCGTTACGTGGGTGACTCTCTTTCTCTCTCGTCGCCAGCGTTCCGGAATATCGGCGGCGGCGGCGGCGGCCTGTCGAAGGGCGGCGCGACGAGGAGGGTCGCGCGACGTCCTCGTCGTCCCTGGCGTCTCCTCTCCCTCGAGTCGCTCTCCGTGCGCGCGCGCAAGGTCTACCTTCCATCTTCCCCTCCCCTGCTTCTCGTCCTCTCTCTTTCTCTCTTTCTCTCTCGCTCTCTCAATGTCAGTGTCAAGGTCAGCGGGCCGACGCACCGGTCGCGGAACGTCGCCGTCGCCGCCACCACCGCTGCTGCTGCTGCAGCGCGCACACGGTGCGGCAATGCCTGTATCCGGTATTGCTCACCGCTGAAGAAAGAGAGAGAGGAAGGGAATTGAATAAAGAAACGAGAGAAAAGCGAATGTGTATATACTTGAGACCGAGTACTGTATACGCTGCCGGCACCCCGCCGCACGCGGCACCCTTACGTCGCTGCGAGCAGTCGCGCGTCCTCCTTCGTCCCGCGCGTCTCGCCGTCGCATCTTTCATTTTCCCGGAGAGACTCCGTCGTCGACTTTGTCGACCGCTTGCTGCATTCCGGGGTTATGCACTCGGTACATCGTAACGCGTCGCGTCCGTCGGTTTATCTTCCACCGTGCCGGCGGTCCCTCTCGTCCCCTTCCCCTCCTCCGTCCCGACTCCACGTCTCCTCTGTCCATCTTTGTTCCATCTCTCCCTCAGCTTCCCGCTCCCTCGCTTGCGATCCCTCTTGTAGTATGCAGCGTGCGCGCGATGCACACAAGCCGCGATAGCGATACACACGGATCATCGTCGCGTGTGCATACACACGTAAACACACACCTTCCGTTCTTCCCTGCCTGCTAGCCGACCGGCCACAGCCGGCCGCCCCATTCGTGTCTCTCTCCGGTCTCTCTCCTCACCGCTCCCCCCCCCCCCCCTGCTCCTCTACCCCTCATCGTGTTTCCTCGTCGTGTCAGCGTGCCCGCGCAATCGTCTCCTCTCCGTCGCACCCTCGGGCGCGCTTCGCGCCGGCCGTGGTGCATTCCGCGGGGAACCTCCGCTCGGTATCGTTTGTAGCGCGTACTGCTCCGTCCGTGTGTGTCACCGGCTCTATCTTACTTCTTTCCCGCTGTTTCCGCCCACCCCCGTCCTCGTCGTGTATCATATATGTGTATACACACATACACATACACTTGCGCGCTTTTCTCTCTTTCTCTCCGTCTCCTTTCAGACAGAACCCTCTCTCCCTTCACCCGCTATCTTTCTTTCCTCTCTTTCTTCTCTCCGAGCCCGACGGCGAGGGAAACGTCTCCCCGACCGTCTCGCGCTTATCCCCTCCGCGCTCGCTGTCGGCTGCTTTTTTTCGCCTCTTTGTCCTTGCATCCTCCCGCACCGGGAATTGGTGGCGGTGGCGGCCAGCTACGCGGGCTCTCTCTCGCCCCGTGAACCGCGAGATTCCTTCGACGCGTCGTGAAAAGCACGAAAGCGCGTGAGTCTTGCGTGTGACGCGCGTGTGTCAGTGTTAGCATTTGTACGTCGTGTGTCCCGTGTAAAGTGTAATTGTCGGGCATCGAGAGCGTGGATCCTGGGCCTCGCCGAAAATGAGCACCGAGGTCTCACCGCCGCTCCATCACCTGCGATCGGTGCTGTGACTTAAAAATCTAGATCGCTTAATCTGCGCCGGAAAGTCGCGATCTTTCAATTCCGGAGCTTCCAGCAATCTCTTTGGAACGTGCACAGGATTCCGTAGTGCGTGGTAAGCGCATCCGAAAAGACGGCCGCCCGTTTCTTTTGTGAGAACGACGGACTCGCGCGATGGCTTCTTTCTCCCGTCTTTCTTTCTTTCGGAATATTCCTTGCTTTTCGGCCATTATAGCGTGTTACCTGCATTTCTCGGAGCATTTCGGAGTTTCAAATGTAGAATTAATTTTTGTTCTTTTATTGATAGTTATTATTATATTTAATCTATTGGCGATAGACAGAAGTAACAGGAATACGATATTAAAGAAAGCGACGGATTACAGTGGTGTTGTTTAAAGGACTTACAGTGGTTTCTTCGAATCCGTTTTCGCTAGCACAATAAGCGTTTTCATTATTTCTCCCTTCGAGAGACCTTGACGAAGCATACGCTGGCATCGCGAGGGGAATGTTAGGACCCGCATATTTTTATAGATGTGGAAAGGAAGATTTAATTAAAATAATTACGAAAAAAGTCGCGGAAAGAATTTTGATAGTATTAAATATACATTTTGCAATACGCGTCTTAGAAAACATATAACGAGTATAATGAAAATCGGATTCAAATTGCTTTTAAAAAAAGATTTTTGTCTTCCTACGTGCAGCACAGATTTCGAGATCTTCGTAAAAAACTATGTTTGATATGTTCGTAAACGACGCTATATAGAGAATTATATAAAAATATATAATCAGAGCACACTTAATATTTGTACTTACGAACGTGCGTTCGCAATTATATTTCAATGTCAATTAGCGAATGCTACGAATATCGTAACATTACATTTATTTAATAATCATAATTGTGTTTAAAAAGTTGCATGTTGCATCAATACATTTTCGTATTTTACGCTTAAAATTTTATTATTAAAGTTAAACGAGACAAGTGTGTTCGATAAAAGCGACGCTTCTTTTCGATATTGGTAGTCAGATTTTTATAACGTTGAATAAATCATTGTCGCATCAATTGTTGCACAATGTGCATAATTAACGAGCGGTTTGCGTTTAGGGTACAGATAAGGACAAAATGTCAAACGGACAGCAGCAGCAACGCTCGTCTTACGTGGAGGCGCACGCGGCACTGCAGCAGCACATGGCGACTCAGGCGGCTCAGGCGAGGCTAGCCGGACTCGGACCACCCGCAGCCCAACAACCGCCGAATTCTACGTTTACTCTGCCAGATGACGGTCTGGGTTACGACGATGGCGTGAGAGTGTTTCGTTCTATTGGAACCTATATGGGGTATTCAAATTACCTACATTTAAGTTATCTAAAGATGAGGTTATTTTTGTCCCTCTTGTAAGTCATCTAATTTTTTTTATTTTTTTTTATTTTGCCACGTTTTAAAAAAAATTTTCTTTGCAGCGAATTCTATGCATTACATCTATGCATCATTAGTTTCCAAGCAACAGACGTTGCATCTTACCGAGTGCTTTTGTAGATCACCAGATTACACTGCTGCAATGCGTCCCAGTGGGATGATGGCATTTTCCGGCGCGACGGACCAACAATTTGGAACTAGAGCGCCGGCATCTGTTAATCAACCCTTACGGACGACGACAATGACGACGACGACGAATAGCGTGGGCATTCGTCCCGGATCTGTTTCGAAGGCGACTAACACGGGCGAACCCACGACAAAAGCGTTCGCCTGCAGCGTGTGCGGGAAGGGACTCGCGCGCAAGGATAAACTCGTGATACACATGCGTATACACACTGGGGAGAAGCCGTATTCTTGCGAGGTGTGCGGTAAGTGGGAAATTATTTTTCAAATTCCGAACAACATTAAGTGAAGCAAGTAGGCGAATAAAAAAATGCAATAAACGTTGCAGGTAAGGCATTTGCGCGTCGTGACAAATTGGTCATCCACATGAATAAACTCAGACATAGAGTCGGCGTCTCGCCCCTGTCAGCGCCTACCGCACCAAGATCCGACCAGCAGCAGCAGCAGCAACAGCAACAACAGCAGCAGGCGCAGCAACAACAGCAACCACCATCTCGCCAAGATAGCATCCTGAGCATTAAAAAGGAGGAGCCCGTGAGTTGGTCTTGCGAGCTGTGCGGACGAGTGCTCGCTACTAGAGAGGAGTGGACACAGCACGCTCGGTTGGTGTTACTTTACGTTGAGACATCTGGGGATCTTATCTTAGTTTAATATCTTAGTTTAATATCTACAACTGATTTCGATTTAATTGCAGATCTCACTTGGAAGCAGTTGCGCCACCGCAACACGCCGCCGCGTACTTCCCCGGATCTGCGCCACCGCCGCAATCCTACCCGTCCGAGAGAAATTTCTGCTTGATGTGCCGTGCCGATTTCACAGATAAAGCTGAATTCTTGTTCCATATACGCACGCACTGTGATGCACACGCGCAACAGAACGCGGCGGGACAGCAGTCAGGCAGTAAGCAAGGCGATATCCCGACCGCTGAACTTATTGCCAGAGGACTTGTCGATCCCTCTGGATTATGCAGCTAGAATTACTCCTTCCCTTGTCACTGTGTACCGTCGATTTGTGTCTTACCATAGTACAAGTTCTCTGCTCCACTTCGATCAGAAACTATTGCATAAAGTATCATGCATATGTGTATATATACATACATACACACACACACACATATATATATATATAAATCAATAAAATATATATATATATGTATGTATAAAATATATATATTATA